GCTTCACTGAAGATAAGAGAGTTCACACTGAATTTGACTCACAGATGTGGAGGATATGGGACAATATGCAAACACTGGATTAGTTCATCACAGAGAAGCCATCTTGGAGAGAGACCCTGTAACAGAAGTGACAAGTATGGTAAAGCCTTGGAGAGCGGTCAGCTCTCTTTTTTTTTTAAAGATTTTATTTATTTGAGAGAGAGAGAGAATGAGAGATAGAGAGCACGAGAGGGAAGAGGGTCAGAGGGAGAAGCAGACTCCCTGCTGAGCAGGGAGCCCGATGTGGGACTCGATCCCGGGACTCCAGGATCATGACCTGTGCCGAAGGCAGTCGCTTAACCAACTGAGCCACCCAGGCGCCCGAGCGGTCAGCTCTTAACCAGCACCAGAGACTTCACACCAGCGAGAAGTGTTACCATCTGAACAAGTGTGGAAGAGCTAATAGAACACAGAGCTTTTCCACTGTGTCAGAATCTGTGTTGGAGAAAAACTCTTAGTGTAATTGTAGTAAAAATTTTCCTGGACATTTTATTCCTTATTCAGTATCAGAAAAGTCACTCAAGAGAGAATGTGGGAAGTTGATAAATATGGATGGAAAGGCTGTCAACAGTAGCATCTAACAATAAAAACTTTTAAGTGTCCAGCATCTGAGACTGGCAAGGCAGAATCTCTCTTCATACCAGACCTGTAGGTGGTCTTTGATGGGAACTGGGCCTTCAGAATGTCCCTCAAAACCTGGTCAGATTCAATAGAGCAAGCCAGTTACTTTTTCCTTAACAGCCTCATCAAACAAGCTACATTATTTTAGTGATTCAAAGGGCTGCCTATGGTCCACCACTTCAGATTTCCAGATATTTTATTAGTTGTTCCTAAATACAGTTCTTACAAAAGCTTGGACTATTGTTTAATTTTTTTTTTTTTAGTGAAAACTTGAGTTGTGTATAAAATACAAATAGGAATATTACTAGATAGTTAATGTATTTTAAAATGTTGCTGCAGTGATTTGTCAAGTCGAAAAAAACTTGTTCAGCATCTTTTTAGTGACAACATGGTGGATCCTTGGGCCTTCCGTTCCTATCTAAGTTATGATGTGTGACACAGAGCCCCCAGCGAAGACCCCAAACAAGAAAGATGCATCTTTTTTTTTTTTTTAAATAGAGGTGTATTAATTTGCATTAGGAAAACAAACAGATCCAAGTTAGTCTTCATGGGAGAATAAGCAAACTCAAATGCCCAGGGGACAGGCAGGTAATATAAATAAAGCCATCCTAGAGTCAAAAACAAGTTAAAACTAAAACCATTATTTTATTTACATTGCATTAAGTTCAGGGAAATTGACAAGATTCTCTTTATTGATTTTGAGTTCTGCACGAGAAAGGTGATCAAGTTAATTGTTCATTGCAACCACCGTAAACATAATGATCTTTTCATACTTTTGAGTATAGTACAGTTGACCCTTGAACAACATGGGGTTGGGACACTGACCCCCTTCACAGTCAAAAATCTGAGTATAACTTGACTCAACCACTGATAGCCTACTGTTGACCAGAGACTTACTGATAATATAAACAGTTGATTAACACATATTCTGTATGTTATATGCATCATATACCGTATATAAAGAACAAATTTTTTTATGATTTTTTTTTTTTTTAAGTAATCTCTACCCCCGATGTTGGGCTGGAACTCAACGACCCCAAGATCAAGAGTCACATGCTCCACTGAATGAGCCAGCCAGGGGCCCCAAGAAAAGGTAAAAAAAATCATAAGAAAATACATTTACAGGGGGCCCTGGGTGGCTCAGTCGGTTAAGCCTCAGACTCTTGATTTCAGCCCAGGGCATGATCTCAGGGTCATGGGATTGAGCCCTGGGAAGGGCCGCGCTCAGTGTGGAGTCCGCTTGTCCCTCTCTCTCTGCTCCTCCCCCACTCGCTTGCTCCCTCCCTCTCTCTCAAGTAAATAAAATCTTAAAAAAAAAGGAAAATACATTTATGGTACTGTACTGTATGGGAAAAAGTCCAAGTATAAGTGACTTGCATAATTCAAGCCCTTTGTTGTTCAAGAAGCCAATGTATTCAGTAATTCATCAGTTAGATACAAATTGATTGTATAAAAAAAAAAAACAGCTGGTTGTGGACCTGGGGAACTCAGAAACATTAGGCATTTTACCTTTTAAATAACATTTTGTAGAACTATTTGTCAAAGTATTTGAGTTGCTCAGAGCCAAACCCCTGGGACTCTTTTTAAGGGTTCCCCCCTGCAACTTTCCTTACAGCTCTCATTGCCTTGGAATTGGTTCTATAAACAGCCTTTGTCTCCTCTTCACCTTTGGTGGGGGGCTGAGGGGCAGTCTGGCTGAGACACTCATGCCCTGGCAAGGTGGCCACCACAGAATTTCGTTGCTAACCCACCAGTTTCTTGTCCTTTTGGGGAGGTCAAGGTCAGGCCCCTACTTGGCTTGAAGGGACATTTTCAGAATTTTCTTCCTGTTACTGGGTTGTCACTGCCTCTCATAGTTCCCTAATAAACTCCTCAACTTAAAAAAAAGATGTAGCATGTCCTCAATACCTTTTTCTGGTTGGAAGTCAAGAAATCAATTACAAATTTAAAATTCCTTGTAGACTATACCATCTAAGGAAATTTAATATCCTCAGGGAATAGTCTAACCAAGGTGTTATAATAACATATACTGGATGCATAAAAAGTTACCTGAAAACAATGGCTTAGAATAAACATCCATCCCATGATGTTTTGGGCCAGGAATTTGGGGAGGGCTCAGCTGGAAGGTTTTTCCATTTCATGTGGCATCTTCTAGTGACACTTGGTGGTATTCATCTGGCAGCTGGGTTTGCCTGAAAAATCCAAGACAGCTGTACTGCCATGCCCAGTGCCTTGGGGCAAGGACAGCTAGAAGGGTGGGCTCAGGGCCTCCTTATAGGATCTTTCCAGCAGGGCAGTTAGCCTGTTCCTGTAATGGCTCAGGACTCCAAGAGCAATTGTTCAAAAACACAAAAAGTGAAAGCTGCTGCTCTCTAAAGGCTCAGGCTGGGAAACTCAAACAGCATCACTTTTGCTGTATTTTATCAGAGCAGTCATCAAACCCACTTAGACTCAAAGGGAAATGACCTAGACCTCCACCTCCTAAGGGAAAAATGCTGAAGAATTGTAGCCATCTTTAATTTTTTTTTAAAGATTTTTTTTTCTAAAGATTTTATTTATTTATTTGAGAGAGAATGAGAGAGAGAGAGAGCATGAGAGGGGGAAGGGTCAGAGGGAGAACAGACTCCCCGCTGAGCGGGGAGCCCGATGTGGGACTCGATCCTGGGACTCCAGGATCATGACCTGAGCCGAAGGCAGTCGCTCAACCAACTGAGGCACCCAGGCGCCCGCCATCTTTAATTTTCCAAAACACCTTTGTCCATCCAGATTTAAAGCCTGGGGGATAAATAATAATAAAGTTTTTTGGATTCTCTTTTCCTAAATTATTGTTCAACTTTTTTCTCCTTTCTTGCCTCCTTTACAACTTCCCTAAATACACCCAACATGATTATGAGCTAATCAAGTGTATATATAAGTTTATTTTTTATACACAAAGTAACAGTGATCTTCTGAATTAGTTTCACCATGTCTTTCTTGAGTCCTGGATCTCAAAGTCTGCTTTTTTCCCCCTCTTTTGATTTTAGAAGTACTTAGAAGGATTATCAAATATCACAAGAAACATTTCTCTTTTTTTAAATGTTGGAGTTACCTGGCTTATAAAATGGCCAAATGTTATCAATGAGCTTGGACGAAAAGTATGAGAAATGAGTTTTCTGGAGATCCATTTTTACCTTTGGTGTCTGTTCCGTATCCCTACCTCCCTGAGTTTCCCCCGTGTAGACGACGCGCAGTGCTGTTCCTGGGCCTGCCCTGTGTCTTGCGCGCTCAGGGCTTGGAGGCTCTTCTGCGGCTGCATCGCACCTGTGACCGCGGCGGACTGCTTCGCCTTGGCCCCTTATTCTGGCGCTGGCTGACTCCTTCAGTGCCAGCCTCCTGCAGGAAGCCGCGCGTCGCAGGGCCATCATTACTCGAAGACATTACAGAAAGGAAAACCACGGGCCAGTATTTCCCACGAGCAGAGATGCAAAACCCCCAACAAAACACTGGCAAGTTGACTCTAATAATTTATAGAGAAAAGTACAGGACAAAGTGGCACCTACTGCACGTGTGCCAGGCCTCGCCCACCGTGGGGCCGAGGTCGCGGGGGCAGCGACAGGGGCAGGAGCTGGGGATGGAGAGTAACGACACCCGCAGCTCGCCCGTCTCACTTCCCCGACCTCGCGGGGCCGCGCCCTCCCCCTCCCTGCGGCTGCGGCGGAAGTGCGCGCGCGCCCACCGTCTAACTCTCGCGACCTCGCGGGGCCCCGCGGGAACTGCCCGGCGAGGGCCCGCCCCCTCCCTGCGGCTGCGGCGGAAGTGCGCGCGCGCCCGGGCCGCTCGCTTCCGGCCTTTGTGGGGCGCTGTGGGCCGTTCGGGCTTCGGACCGCCGGCAGGCCGCGGCCTTTCGTACCCCGGGGGTGACCCATGTGCTGGCCGCCGCGGGCCGCGGGGGAGCGAGCGTGCGGCCCTGTCCCGCCCTCGGAGAGCCGTGAAACGCGGCGTGGCCTGCGCGGGGGGAAGGAGCGGAGACAGCGCCCGAGGGGCTGGAGCCCTGCGCTCCTGGCGGCAGGGTTTCCGCCGGACGCCCGGCCGCTACAGGAAAAAGGCGACTGAGCGAGGGTGTCCCGACGTTTTATTACTATTTATTTGCTCTAAATGTTGGTTGCATTCCCTTTGATTGCCCTTCATTCTAGGACTCAATGCAGGTGTTTCCTACCAGGCCGTACTGTTCGTTTGTAAAATCCTCAGACCACTTCGCAGCTTTTACTTAATCTTTTTCTAGATTAGTCTGTTCCTAAGTCTTTTGTAATCGGAGCATTTCCCTGAGTGTCGTAAATTAACCTGGAGGTGGCTTGCAAAGCACAGAAGTGGATTCTTAGAATTTGCAATTTTGGCCTATGGTGTAGCTTGTGTTAAGAGTGACGGCTTCTCCCTCAGGTCCACCGAGGGGGAACTGAACAGGGACTCTTGCTTGCGGCACCGATAGAGCTTTTGCACAGCTCTGATGGCATCTGCTTGGGCTCTCCCGGCCCGCGGGGACCAGGATGAGCTTCTGGAAGTAAAGATCGAGGAGGAGGAGAGGGAGGAGTATAACACCCCCAGACAGGATCAGAACCTGCGAAAGAACAGCACCCACAGCAGGGAGGTCTTCCGGCAGTACTTCCGGCAGTTCTGCTACCAGGAGACATCTGGGCCCCGCGAGGCGCTGAGCCGGCTCCGGGAGCTGTGCCGTCAGTGGCTGCGGCCCGAGACGCACAGCAAGGAGCAGATCGTGGAGCTGCTGGTGCTGGAGCAGTTCCTGACCATCCTGCCCGAGGAGCTGCAGGCCTGGGTGCGGGAGCAGCACCCGGAGAGCGGGGAGGAGGCGGTGACTGTGCTGGAGGATCTGGAGAGGGAGCTGGATGAGCCTGGAGAACAGGTGAGAAAAAGAGATCTGCTTAATGATAAAAGGTGAATTATGGATTTCTTGGCCAGAGTGAAGTACAACTTTGTTTCACAAAGTGTGTTGACACTTGGGTGCATCAGGCCCGAGCCTCTTAGAAAGTTGGTTAATGGAGTCCTAACTTATTTTTGGCTTCTCTGCGGAAGGATCATGTATTTCTGTACTAGGCCTACAGAGTTCTATTTGATGAAATGCTCGAAAACATTAGAAAGAGAAGATTTCTTTTTTTTTTTGTTTTAAAGATTTTATTTATTTATTTGAGAGAGAGAGAATGAGAGCACGAGAGGGAAGAGGGCCAGAGGGAGAAGCAGACTCCCCGCTGAGCAGGGAGCCCGATGTGGGACTCGATCCCAGGACTCCAGGATCATGACCTGAGCCGAAGGCAGTCGCTCAACCAACTGAGCCACCCAGGCGCCCAGAAAGAGAAGATTTCTAAGAGCAAATGTTTGAGAGGTCATGGTAACGGGGTGCTCAGCAGTCTCTTGAAAGGGACGTCGTTTCTGTTGCACAACAGTGCATCCACTGCCCTGCCTCCATTAAAGGATTAAACGAAGGAGAAATCAAAGTCACCACCGTGGAGGAGTGGGAGGTAGGAGCAGAGTGGAAGTTTGGGAGGGAGGGGCGGGGCAGGGATGGGAGTTATTGGGAGTAGTAGAAAGCCCAGTTAGGTTGGACAGGTGAGGTGTGAGAGAGGGGTTGAAAACAGAGTCCAGGACCTTGAATATCATCTCTGGAATTTAGATTTTATTCTGTAGGACACAGGCGTCTAACGTTTTCTCTTTGAGTCTAAATGAGCTTCTCTAACCCCAGGATGTAACCAAATATGTAGGATCTTGTTCTGTTTTGTTTCAACACTGATAAAAGACAGTGGTTCGCAACCAGTGGCAATTTTGTGCCCTAGAGGCATCTGGCAATGTCTTGGGACATTTTTGGTTGCCATTTGGGGGAGGTGCTACTGGCATCTAGTGGCTAATGGGCAGGGACATTACCCAGTATCCTACAGGGTATAGGCAGCCGCATACAACAAAGGATTATCTGACCCAACTTGTCAGTAGAGTCAAGGCTGGGAAGTCTTGCTAGGAAGAATATAAAACAGGGAAATAATAAAACAAGAAGTGCAGCTCAGCACTGGGGTGCCAACACTGGAAGGGGGGAGCCTGTGGCAGAAAGATGTGAGTTTGAGAGAGTTGTGACGGTGAGACTACAGAGGATGAAGCATGTCATAGGTAAGTATTAATTGGAAACGATGACAGATCAGTGGATGAAAAAGGAAGGATGAAGGGAAATGTCTCTACGGAGCAGTCACTTCTAGGCTGAGCACTGGGGACTTCCAGCTTGAGAGACCAGCGTGATCCAGGTGCTCCTAGCAGAGTTCGAGGGTTTAGGGGAAAGTGGATTGGGGAAAAGTTCATTTGTTCAGGAGACATTTACTGAATGGAGTTTTGTACCAGGCACCATTCTAGGCACTGGAAACGGAGCCGTGAACAAAGTGCAGAGGTTGCTGCTGTCTCATAGATAGATTCTAGTCTACTGAGAGGAGGCAGACAGTAAACAGGGGGTGCTGAGTCACTGGAGAGTTTTGAACAGAGAAGAGGTTTGACCTGACCTAAATTTTAAAAATAATCACTCCAGCTGCTCTGTTGGAAGAGTTGTGCACGGGGGCTGGTGGTCGGGGTGCGGGAGGCTGGGGGGTCAAAGATAGAAGCAGGGAGACAGGTTCAGCACCAATCCAGGCACCAGGTGCTGGCGGCTTGGACTAGGGCAGTAGCCGTGGAAGTCGTGAGATGCGATTGGATCCTGCCTATTTTGGAGGTAGCACTTGAAGGGATCATGTTTTTCTGTAGGATGTGGGATAGGAGAGAAAGTGAGCTCAGGATTCGGCTAAGGATTTTGTTCTGAATGTCATGATTTGTGGATTCGTCATTCATGGAGATGGTAAAGTCTGGGAGAGAGGAAGGTTTGGAGTCAGGACAGGGATCGAGGGTTACTAGGTATTTGGATGTGTTGATTTTGAGATTCCTATTAGAATCCACCTGGAAAAGTTGAGCAGGCAACTGGATATAACAAGCTGGGATTCGGTGGAGGGATCTGTGCTAGAAATGCAAAATTGGAATTTGTCAGAATATGGATGACATTTGAGGTTATGAAATGAAGAGAGGTCATCAGGGCAGTGGAAACGGAGAAGCAGCCAGGGAGACAGGAAGAGAACCAGAAGAAAGAAGGGGATTCTCAAGCGCAGGCAGAGGTAATGTGGTTTTAAACATGTTGAGTTTGTTTTGCCAACCAGCCCCTTCCCTCGAAGCATGCTGGGGGCCTCTAACGGAATTTAAACTTGATTTCTGAGGCCTTGCCAGAGATCTGTGGATAGAAGACACAACCCACTGTACCGGCCTTTTTCTCCCTCCACATTTGAAGTTGAAACATCTTTTTCTGGGCATCTCAGCATCCTGCTGATTTTGGCTCTTATTCTGGGGGCAGAGGTTACACAATGAAACTGTCAGAATAGAGGCAGTGTGCGGTGATTTCTTACTTACAGAATGTAGCCATTGAAGGGGATTGGGGAGCAGTTTGAGGGCCTGGTGTAGCTGTGCCCTCTGTGAGGTGCTTTGTGTGCATGGTGCCATGTGGTCCAAGTAAGCAGTCCCTGCTCACGGAGCTCCTGAACTAAGACACAGACTAAGGAATGAGACTGGTCCCAGATCCCTGCGTTTCATACCCTGCTGGGGAAACCTGTTCTTTTTAAATACAAGGGGAATGATTCCGTGCAAGCATGGAAGTTACAGAGTGGCTTAGACTGCTAAATAAATGAGTTTGTTACAGGAGCAGGGGTCAGGGGTGCAGTGCAGGAGGGGATGGGGTTGAAAGCGAGAGTAGAGATATGCACCTTGAATGAGAAAAGGCCTCTTCCTCTAAGTGGAAGGGAAAAAGGGTGTATGCGGGGGCGGGGGGGATGATGAAATGAAGGGTGGGTGGTCTCTCATGTGACCATGACCTTGGACAAGGAGAAAGTAAGGTCATCTCCTGGAAGGAAGTGGGGTGGGGGCCTGGGAAGGGCAGTCTGTAGGGAACAGCTTCTGGAGCCTACATGGAAGATTTCCCCTCCCTCCTCCTCCCCCTGTCGCTCCTTTGTTTCCTTCTGCCTTTCTCCAAAGCATAAATGAAGTGAAGGTGGTACAACCAGCATTGTTTAGCTGTGAAGAACAGGAGAAAGGAAGGTTTCTTAGAGGAGGTGCCATGAGGAGGGTCATGGCAGGCTGGTGTCTGGAAGGAAGTTGAGGTGTCAGAGAGCTGGGTGTCACCGCCATGATTCGTATACTCTTATTTTCTGTTCACAGACTGAGTGTGTGAGCTGTGTCTCGTTTGCCACAGGTCTCAGTCCACACTGAGGAACGGGACCAGCGCTTGCCAGAGATGGCCCCTCTGGGAACAGAACAGGAACCCAGTATGTCCTTCCCACCCCTGATGGCACAGCTCAAGTGTGAGTCTCCAGAACCTGAAGCCCAACTGGAGGAGCAAGGTAAAGAAGACAGACCCGTCTTGGGAGGAAGGCGAGGTTGGGCTAGCACAGGACACCAAGCCTCTGTAGTACTCTGTACTGTTTCTCATCATCAGAGTCAGGATGCTCTCGTGCACTGACTCTCGGCCACTTTGGTTTGTCACTCTTCGGTTTATCAGGACAATGGGAAATAACTATCAGAATCACTCAGTTAAGTGATCTCAAGTAAAATATTTTTTTTTTGAATTCTTGTGCTGTTTTACTTGAGATCACTTAACTGAGTGATTCTGATAGTTATTTCCCATTGTTCTGCTATCCCTGCTTTTCCAGCCTTTATCCTGTCAGACAGTACTACGGTCTTCACTTTGGCCGTATCCTTCCTCCTTCAGTAAACAAGCCTCTGCCCCACGATGTCTGCCGTTTTCAGATGGTTCAGGAGAAAATGTATATATATGTACATTTACAAAGAGAAGAAACAAAGCAAACGTGGCAGAATGTTAAAAGTTGGTGAATGGATGAAAGACCCCTTATTTTCCTTGTCTCTATTTTGTCTATATTTATTCTTTCCCATTTAATTTTTTAAAATAGGTAAAAATTCATACAGTTCAAGAACAAAAACTTAAAATTATCCGGTGAAAAGTTTTCATTTCACCTTGTTCCCTCGGCCATCTGGCCTCCTAGTCCTGAAATAGGTTGTCACTGTTCTAAGTTCTTGTGTGTCCTTCTCGAGATATATATGCTTTTCATATTCCAGTAAATGCCTTTTCTTCTCTTTATCATAAAGATGGTAGAAGCTTACATTTTTTTAAAAAACATTTTATTTATTTATTTGACAGAGACACAGCGAGATAGGGAACACAAGCAGGGGTAGCGGGAGAGGGAGAAACAGGCGGGAAGCCGAGCAGGGAGCCCGATGCGGGGCTCGATCCCAGGACCCTGAGATCATGACCTGAGCTGAAGGCAGCCGCTTAACGACTGAGCCACCCGGGAGCAGAAAAGCTTGCATTTTTTATTTCTTAGCAGCTTAATAGTAAAATGTATGGATGAACCACACAGTAAACTTATCCATCCCCCAAGTTGTCTCCAGTGTTGTATTGTAACAGGTGGTGCTGTGGTGAATGTGTGTAATTCTGCAGTATAAATTCCTGTATGTGAAATTACTAGGTCAAAGGTTAAATACATTTGTAATTTTGATGGATGTTGTCAAATTGCCTTCTATAAAGCCTGGGTCAGTTTACACTCCCACTGGCAACATGTGACACCCATTTCATGAACACAGTGTTACATCGTAACTACATCCTACTGGGCAGGATGACGGGTGAATATTGTGTCTCAGTATTGTTTAAATTTGCTTTTCCCTTATTACAGTCAGTTTTTCCTTTGTCCAGTTTGTATTGGGTTATTGGTCTTTTCCATAACAATTTTTGGAGTACTTTCCATATTGTGTCTGTCCTGTGTTCTAATGCCATTTCATAGTCCTGCAGAAACTCTAGGTTCTTATGTATTTTTCACTGGCGAATCTTACGTTGGAAATTAGTTGACTTGGCAATCCATTGTAGTTTCAGGTGTTGAGACTGGAAACGAGTACAGGAATTTAAAGCAAGAAGTTTCTGAAGAAATGGAACCATATGAGAATATGTCTAGATTTGAAAGTGAAGTGTCCCAGCCCACTTGGTGCAGAAAAGCTGATGAATCTGAAGCAAAAACAGAAGAATCTTCTGGACACTCCAGGGAAGGTGAACAATCTACAGGTGATGAAAACAGAGTCAGTCTGACTGAACAGCAGAGGGTCTGTCTGGGAGAAAAACCTCATGAATGCAAGGAGTGTGGGAAAGCCTTTAGTCAGCACTCGCGCCTTATAGAACATCAGAGGGTCCATACTGGAGACAGGCCCTACAGATGTGAGGAATGTGGAAAAACTTTCCGTGGGAGAACTGTGCTTATTCGGCACAAAATAATACACACCGGAGAGAAACCGTATAAATGTAATGAGTGTGGCAAAGCCTTTGGCCGGTGGTCAGCTCTTAACCAACATCAGAGACTTCACACAGGAGAGAAGCACTACCACTGTAATGAGTGCGGCAAAGCCTTTAGCCAGAAAGCAGGCCTCTTTCACCATCTCAAGATCCACACAAGAGACAAACCGTACCATTGTACTCAGTGTAATAAAAGTTTCAGTCGGCGCTCAATACTTACTCAGCATCAAGGAGTTCACACTGGGGCGAAGCCCTATGAGTGCAGCGAGTGTGGAAAAGCCTTTGTTTATAACTCATCCCTTGTTTCCCACCAGGAGATCCACCACAAAGAAAAGTGCCATCAGTGTAAGGAATGTGGGAAATCCTTCAGTCAGAGTGGCCTTGTTCAGCATCAGAGGGTCCACACTGGGGAGAAGCCTTACAAGTGTGACATATGTGGAAAAGCCTTTATTCAGAGGACGAGTCTTATAGAACATCAGCGAATTCACACTGGGGAGAGACCCTATAAATGTGATAAGTGCGGGAAGGCTTTCACTCAAAGATCCGTCCTCACGGAACATCAGAGAATCCACACTGGAGAGAGGCCCTACAAGTGTGATGAGTGTGGGAATGCCTTCCGTGGAATCACCAGCCTCATTCAGCATCAGAGAATCCACACTGGGGAGAAACCCTACCAATGTGATGAATGTGGCAAAGCCTTCAGACAGAGGTCAGATCTTAGTAAACACCAGAGAATCCATACTAGAGGTGGTCCCTGTAAATGTAAAGAGTGTGGGGAATCGTTCAGGCAGACCTCAGCTCTTACTCAACATCAGACTATCCACAGAGGAGAAAAGCCTGTTTCTCTCTGATGGCTACAAGGAAGCTGTGTGACGGAGTGCAGGCTGGAGAGAAATCCTAGCTTTGAAGTCATTTGGGAAAATGCCAGTCACTGTTGCTATAAGGAAACCTCAGCTATTATATAAAGAATTCCCTGTGTGCTGCCCGTTCTGTCAGGTGCTGTAGAGATCAAGAAACATAACACCAAATTCCTCTTCTCCAAAGTTTACAGTTTAGCTGGGGATAGCTAAATACCACGTGTGAGGTTAGGTAAGACTGCAGTGGGACAGGAGAATTGATGGTGCGAGTGCCGTGTCTTGGAAGTGGCTTGTGGCGCACAGTAAGTGCTGTCCATCCGGGAGGACGGACTACCGACGCCTCGGGGTCAGGAAAGATCTTACAAAAAGGGTTGGATGGGCAGAATTGGAAGGCAAAATGGAAAGCAGTTAGGGTAAAGGAAATGCAGGCAGAGTGCTCGTGGTTTGGAGGCATCTGAGCCGACCTGAGGTCAAGAGTCCGTCCGGTTGGGCAGTTGATGGCAGTACGCTGGCTGCAGAGCTTGGTGACAGACTGGGAGGGCGAGCGTGTGTCTTAGCACTTTTCTGACTTCATTCCTAAAGTATCTCTGTAAATTAAAATCACTGGCCATTGGAAAGGTGAGGACTCTTGCGTGTGGCGATGGTGACATAACTACCATGTCACAGAGGGAAAGACCAGCCACTGAAGAGTAGGTCTCCGACTTCAAGTCCTGTCCGTTGCTCTAGGGATCCCTCCACTTCACTGAGCATCAGAATCGCGTGTGGAGCTCGTTTAAAATGCCCACGTCCCACTCACAGACATTCTGCCTCATTAAGTCTGGGATGGGGGCCGAGAATCTTCATGTTTGTAGCCGGTCACCTGATTCTGCAATTCGAGAAACACCGCATTGAATCCCAGCTGCCTTCATGGTTGCCTGTGGAGTGCGGACACGTGAACCGCTGCTGGTTTAGAGCATAAGGGAAGCCTGACGGAGGACAGGTGCCACCAGTACTTTAGAGAGAACCTGACCACCGGCCAGCCACAAGGGCTTCAGGCTGGCCTTCCCACCTCTTCACATTTAAAGGTGTCAAAATAGTCTCCTGACCTACACTCAAAGGCTCCAGGAGTCATCTGAGCACAAGGCTGTGTGTGTTTAGTTAGGGGAGGGCTCTAGTGTTCTCTCTTTGGCTTCTGACCTCTCTTTTCCCCCAATTACATGGTCCTCATGTTCTGAATTCCCTAATAACTGTTCTTCAGAACTGGTTTACAATTTTTTTGGTTTGTAAACCTTCTTGAGCACATAAAAGAGCCAAAGATTAGTGACTCTGTCCTTTGGGACTTGTGAAAACATGAATCGATAACTGGTTGACTTTACTCCTGTTTTACTGAGTAAACAGTTCGGTCTTAGATGAGGGCCTGTGATGATTATTTCGGGTAGTCAGCAGCCACAGAGAGGCACACATGGCTCCTGGTCTGTTGATCTTTTTATTTACAGAGACTATTTTTAATCTTCACTCAGCTGTCCTCTGTTTTCCCTCCCTTGCTACCTTGCCACGGCAGACTCTGCAATTTCTGGGACTACCTCCCCACCCTACCTCATCCCGCAGGACTCCAGGATCCTCTCCACCCCTCACCTCTAGCTGGTTAGTGGGTTTGAAGTGGTGAGACAGAAGGGGGAGGGGAGAAATGGGTAATTGCCTTCCTTTAACTACTCTTAACTGCCATTGTGTCCAGCCCTGTGTCTCCATCCCATCTCCTCCCTGCTCCTACAATGTACTCTGCCCCCTTTCCCTTCGGCCCTTGTCTCCTGCCCCCTCTATCTGTAGCCTGATCCAGAACATGGGGGTGTCATCGCTGGCTTGGCCAGAAGGGTCCCTGGAGAAATAGCTGTGTAGCTTTTAAGCTCTTAGTGTGAGCACATTTTCCCATAAGAATAATAATGGTATTAGTACTATAATTTAGGCATATTATGACACATGTGTCATTTGCTTTTGGGATTGGAATTTACATGACCATGGGAAAACATCCTGAGTTCACAATAGAAGAAAGCAAATGAACATTTGAAAAAACAACTCAATCACAAGTTGAGGACTCTTTATTTAGGTATTTATCCTAATACCAACATGGGAGCTGCACACATGAGACACTGAGACAGCCAGGGTTGGGGAACTAATTTTTTACATCCAGAAAACAGTTTGTTGCCCCGAGTGAGCCTGAGAGCCTTGAGCTGTGTGTGTTCCTGTCCCCTTCCCCAGCTCACCCTGCCTTGCATTTCTCACTCTGGCAAGCTCCTCGCTGCTTAGTGATGAGAACCCGTATGAGCACGTCCTCTTCACCAGCTGATGATATTCGTGCTCGTCACCTGCTCAGATGTCAGACACGGTATCCAAACTGAAGTTACTCTGACCTCTCTCGAATCCTACTGCTCACTGGAACGCGATTTCTTATTTTAAACTTGCTTTCTGTTCACAACGCAGTTACTTACAGGTTATGTAGTTCATCTTCTGCTTAACCCGTTCTCAACACAGATGTGTGCCTCCATTTGCCTCTAACGCCTTTAATTGCCTAATATAAAGGAGCCATAGATAGAGACCCAGAACATCGGGATGCGCCTGTGATGTAGCATACAGTTCATAACTTGTTTAAAAATAAAGGTGGGAGTTTTGTTCTGGTTGTTTCTTGTACTTAAATATAGTTGCAGTACCAAGAAAGGGTGGGGTGGCGTGGAATTTCCAGGTAGGCATCAAAGGGGTCAAACTATCCAGGATAAGGAGAAAATAGAGTATAATAACTGGAGCTAAATTGGCAACACAGAAGTAGAAGGCCCTGAGGGGCAAATGGAGGACATGACAGGTTAGAGATGAAATTGGGGAGTGTGGCGAACAGAGAATGATGAAAGTCCAGAGTGCATCTTTATGGATAAAAGCTGGATGTGGTCTAATAGGGACAGGAACTAGGAAATCAGGGTCCTTTGAAGCAGCTTACCTTTGTGGATTTTGAAACCATTAGCAATAACAGGCAGTAGGATGGAAAGGAAGAATGTGAAATTAAAGCAAGTCCAGGGTAGAAATAATGTCAGTCGAGTAGTAACAGCCAGGTTGAGGAACTGGTGTAACACTGGAATCACAAAGCAGTGGCTTAGAAACATCAATAAGGATGAGAGTGAGATTGGCTGGCTTCTCTTTTCTAATTGGTTCAAGGTAAACAAGATACTGAGTGTTTAAGACAAAAAAGGTGAAGGAGGCTTTGAAGAGTAACCTGACAAACGGGTTTAGGGGGTGTAATAGAAAGGGACTCAGTTGTAAGAAGAGGTTGCTGGAATTTTAGGTGTGAGATAAAGCTACTGAGGAAACAATAGGATTGAGCAGGGCTCTGAATTGAGAAATGTCAGTTGTGGGGTGAGGCTAGCAGTGGAGAGCAGGTCTGCACCCCTGTGCTCTGAACAGAAATAGCCTCTTGTTATTTGCCATAGATTATTCATTATAGAGTTCTTACAGTCAAAACAAAGCCCTTATTGGCGTCTTTGGGAGTCGAGAATAGGATTTGTTAATAATATGTAACATAAAGTGCTTTCTTTTCTTTTTAGCTGGGGAAACTGAAATCAGGGAATTGAAGCTGCCTGAGGTCACAAAGTTATAATATAGTGGGGCCAAGCTTTGAACCCAAGCAGCCCAATTCTAGAGCCCACACTTCCTATTTCAGTTGAAGGAACCCTGTGTTGCAGTGGTAATCAATGTCCTGAGTAATGATCTGTGCAAGCTTTTCTACTGTCATTTCTTTTTTTTTTTTTAAGGATTTTATTTATTTATTTGAGAGAGAATGAGAGATAGAGAGCACGAGAGGGAAGAGGGTCAGAGGGAGAAGCAGACTTCCTGCTGAGCAGGGAGCCCGATGTGGGACTCGATCCCGGGACTCCAGGATCATGACCTGAGCCGAAGGCAGTCGCTTAACCAACTGAGCCACCCAGGCACCCACTACTGTCATTTCTAAAAGATACTTCAGAAACCCCAGAGTCCTAGGTCCAAGCACCCAAGGTAGTATCACCACCCTCTCTGCACACCAAATCTTGGATGAGGTTTGGTCAATCTAATGTGAACCCTAATGCTTGCTGCCTACACAAGGAGGGTGTCCACAGGAGACATTCCACTAAAAATGGACTCTTTAAAGGAAAGGATCACCCTCTATTGTGACAGAATACGGGATTTTTGGCAGTCTTCATTAATACACATCATAAAGATGATGTCCGGTTATGGATCTATCCAATAACCCCTATGGATCTATTCTTGATGAGGGTTTTATATTTGTAGCTAACACCACTTCTAGGATTAAAGGAAACAGAATTATATAAAATAGTTCTTTCAGGTGCCTCTCCTGACTCCACAAGCCCACAATTTATTTGAGCAACAAGTTGCCCTATTCAGTTTAGGGATAATCATTTGACAACCTTTAATTAAATATTCTCAACTTTCATCCTTTCACACTGAAAAGTTCTCATTATCACAGTCCCTCTAGCAGTTCATTTTATTGGAATTTCTTTGGGTCCTCTCTCATGCCAAATGTTTTTGGATGTAATTGGTAAGGGGTCCTTGCACATTTTTTATACACATATTTTATATATATATATGTAAAGTATATATGAATATATTTTATAAAAATGTGTTGTACATGGGTTTTATTTTATACATATAATTTGATTTTGATAAAGCCAGCCATGGTAAGTAAACTCCGTTGAGTAGCTCCTTGGCTCACATTTGAAGACCATCATTGAGAGCCAGCGGTTTTCCCTTGATTTCATGGAAACCACGGACTGTTCACCCACACTTCCAGGTCTGAAAGCCCATGGGTCAAGGCTCCCAGAGCTTTCACCCAGCACAGCTGCAGGGGTACATGTTTGTTCCACGGATCATCTTATAGCCCAAATGGCCTGGTCCTGGGTATCCCAAGAAGGACCTCAAGTGGACGTTATTTGTCACCTGTGATTTATGGTTAGCTCTTTACTAATTCCTCTTTAGGC